ATCGTGAGTTTCCTTTTATGTCGAGCAATATTCCAGTAGCTCCTGCTGTCGGTGTTGACCTAGTCTATCTCACAGTCCCTGAACCGCATTATCGATTCGATTCGATTGTTTATTCAGTAAAGACTTGGGCTATATGCCCCTCGTCATCATTTTACACTGTATACATGATAGAATATGGTTATCCATTGAAATATACATATTTTTTACATTTACAAAAGGAGGCTGGACAAAACATTTCGGTACTTACATGCATAAGTTTATGTATTTACATAATTTTGCAATATTATCTTTAGATGTGTTTCTTAATAATTCCAAAAATTTCAACATACTTGGTTTCTTCCAAAAATAAGGTTTAATCAGCTGTTTTCGATGTACTGTATGTTTTGGGCAAATTAAAAACGAAATGGTATTCATCTTAAATTACATTATTTTCTTTACAGTAGATACAATATCTTTTCTCCCGATCAATATTTTCATAACGCCCAGTTTCAATTTTTAATTTATGACACGAAATTCGAAACGCAGTTAAATACCTAACAGTGTTTGGATGTAAAGCATCTAAGTATAATTCATATCTAAATTCACTTTTGATAGTACTGTATAGCCATAATTTACTACTTGAAGTAATGTCATGATGCCATTTTTGAAAAAAACAATCAGTTAAGCGTTGCTTTAAAATGACAACAAAACGTACTAGCGTCAACACATCCTGGGTCACACCAAACATCCAAAATTATAAATAAAACATTTTTAACATGAAACACACAGTTTTTGACGCCATTATTACAATGTTACAACAGCAATTCATAGATTACTTTAAGGAGACAATTTGATGTACATTGTACCAGTATTTTATAACCCTTAAATATCTATTGATATACAAAGGAAAACGACCTAGTTCCCCATATACAGCCATATTAGTAACATTGTGTTGAACTTTAAGGATATTTTTACAAAACTTTAAATGTACACGTTCAATTTCAATTGCGTTTTGCAAACCCCAGACTCCTCAACCATAGTGCATAGTAGATGTAACAAAAGAATCAAACAGACCACAACATGTTTTAGCAGAATGGTGACCATTTCTAATGTTATGGAGCAGAACATTCATAGCTTTTGAACCTTTACCAGCTAACAATTTTGAGTAAATCTGAAATTACCTGTGTATGTAATCATATTACTTAAGTAGTTCAATTCATCCACAATCTCAAGCGGCATAGTATTAAAATACCAATGCTCAACCTGGTTTAATTTTCGTCTTTTGCGGAAAACCATCACTTTTGTCTTCATAATGTTAACTTGTAGGCCCCAGTCACTTCAGTATTCATGCAAACTATCCAGAGAATGTTGAAGTACATACTGCCCAGCCCAGCCCAGCCCTCCCTGCAATGTTAAAGCTCTAAATGACGCAAGTCTATATTTCCTCTGAATCTTTGGTCTCCCAGGGGCTCCTTTTCAATTTAAATGGGTTTATTGGTTACTGTCAAAACTATACATATTCAGAGACTAAGCGTTAGACACTTCCTAACGTTTTTGGTTCAACCAAGCACACTATTTTTATGAGGATTTCACACGGCGTCTCTCGCTCAGAGGTTGTTTGATCAAGGTTACATCACTCAAATCCTCGTAAACTTTAAAAACGTTTCTTATGGTAGACATGTGGAGGACATTTCCAAATTTGACGCATCAATGGCAAAAATGATATCCGATACAGTTCTCTAATTTGATTTCTACCATATGTTTAATGATTTGTTTCATTTTGTCAGGTGAACAATTGATTTGCCTTTGCGTGTGTTTGTGCCAAGTGCAGGATACGATGATCTTTTCCCGAACTCCTGGTATCATCACTATTTGACAGTGTTTTAATAAACACATGGCCATGTGGAATGTGTTTCCGATTTTTTTTTATGAATATGGCAATATATGTTTTGTCGTTTTGTGTGGCTGGAGGTTCTGGTCTCACCATTGAGTGCCTGATGTGTGTACAAGCCACATTCACATGACCGGGGTGCTGCCCTGCGACCATGGGCAACAAACACGTTATAACACCAATGGTGGCGGTGGTACTACCAGGACAGGCTTACCCTTATCGCGAACACCCGGTGTCGCTACTGATTTTCAGTGACCCATTCACATAATTGTCCGCGCTATTTCCTCCTACGCTAAATGGAATTTCTTTAATCGGATAATCATTATTACCAGTTATTGCAGCTATATATTCGCCTGCCTGCAATGCGATAACAGCTGTTAGTCAATACCTGTATAATACGCCAGTCAAAAGTCACAAATAAAAATGATTGATATGATTGATGTTGTTCTGTTCTGAATGGAACATGGGAGTTGAATGTTAAGGGAACATGGCTCAGAATGATTGATTGCATGTCGATAATGAATGGGACATATAATTCGAATTTCTGAATGACTGCCTCCACGTCTGAGCATACTGACACTAATCTTTCAGGTAATAACGAAATTGAATTATGAACCACTTTTCCCACACAGTGTAGTTACACAAGGCTCAATAATTCACAGGTGATTGCATTTATGTAAATGCAAATGTACACTGGTTACAATAACGTTCACACGTCCAAGGTCAGTGAACCCTGACAAGGCTCTTCCATTCATTTACACTGCCGGGTCTGTCATACAGGCCCTGAAACAAATATACCCAATACAGCCCATGCAAGTCTAGAATGAGTGGCAGGTCTAGATTACCACAGTTTCAGTTTCTGAAAAAGAAGAACGTCTCTGGCCTTCTTATATTTTATTAGCATGACTTAGAAACTGATTTTTTCTGTAAAACACGTTCATTTCAGAGACTAAATGTTAGCCAAACTGCAGGGCAAAGGAAATATGCACCTATGTTAGATCGGAGAGCGGAAGGTCGCGGGTTCGATCCCCAACCACGTCATACCAAAAGACGTTAAAATATGGTACTTGTTGGTCCCTGTCTGGTGCTCGGCATTAATGGGTACAACAAGGACTGGTCGGCTCGGAGTCAGTATAATGTGTCTGAATGGAGTATTCATGCTTCACTGCGGCATGGTATCTCAGTGGGCTAGCACTATAAAACCAGCTTCATTCTGGGCTAGTACAAGCAGCCGCACCTACACATACACACGCATGCACGTAGTCATATGAGCGAAATATTCTCAAGCACGACGTATAACCCAATTGCACCTCACCTTTGTTAGATAGTGCCTAAAATGAAACAAACTGAAAATGGTTAGATAATGAGGATGCATTTGTTAGGGGTAGCATAGTTGTGTTTTAACCATTTGCTTTTGTAAGTTTGTAGAGTAACGTCTGTTTCAACCTATAACATTCAAATAATCTCTGCGATTGTTTGGTCAAATCTATGTTTCAAGTGTACCCCTTCTTGACATAGGGTTTGGGGTGAGATAAGTTGGCTAGCCCAGTGGTTAAAGCGTTCGCCCGTCACGCCGAAGACAAAGTTTCGATTTTCAACATGGTTACAATATGTGAAGCCCATTTCTTGCGTCTCCTGTCGTGATGTTGCTGGAATATTCCTAAGCGTCTCGTAAAAACTTACAAACTCTTTTGTATAGCAGTTTAACAACCAAACCGTCTTAACACATCTTGTTTTCTTTTCAGTAACCTGTATTGTTCACTGTCTGTAGAATGTTTACCGTTATTGATAACAGTTAACATATCGAGGTAGCAACACAATATCACACCATTTAATTATTTGTTTGGAGGCAGTAAATCGGATTTAATCGTACCCGGCCATAACCTGTGTTGACAAAGTTTAAGTTAAGGTCACAAAATTTAGTGTATGTAATAAATTTACTATAACAGTTATGAAGCTGGTACAGCTATTAAATTTACTGCTCGACTTTGACCCTGTCATACACATCCTGTCCACCCATCCTCTTGTTGAAAGTTTAAGTTTATTTTTGTGTTTTTCTCCCATGACACGGACACGTGAACCATAAACTTGACAAAGAACGAGGATAGTGTCAATAGATATTTGAACAGTGGTGCTGTGTCTAGACAAACCTTGATTAGCTCAAACTATTTCTTTTTCACGTCATCATGAAGCGACTATGTTAATAGTTAGGCCTCTGTTTTCACAATTTGGTTTACAGATTTTTACCCAAAATATGTTCGGTGGTAGAAATAACATAGAAAGTCAGTGCGAAGGTACACCAAACTTGACTATCCTCAGACACAAATTCCGTTTGGTGTAAAGGGAATAATAGCAGTGAAAATTGTAGGAATGGGTCACTTAAAATCAGTGATGACACCCGGTGTTCGCGAAAAAGTTAAAAAATACGCTGCCCTACCGGTAGCACGTACCCGCCATTCATTAAATAGACATAAATATGAAACATCAGAGAATAGCAAGTCTCCATTATCCCGAAAACAGATTCCTGTGAGCACCACTGTGTTGCAAAACATCGTTTTTCACAAAACGTAATTTTCGTTCTTGTAAGCAGACGAACGTTTACACAGCAGTCGAAGTTCAAAAATACCAACTGGGTTTTCGGGTTCATCGATCACCTGATTGTCTGGTTTGTTTAACATTCAACAAGTCATATGATCGTTCTGCAGCATGCCGGCAGTTTTAGGGCAGTTGTAATGTCTCGGAGCAAACAAGAATTCTTTTCTTGCTGACTCTTCCGTTACATATATGTATATTACATATAGTTGTTAAAAGGTCAGTAATTTGAGAAAAAAATCAAATTCTGAATTAAATATTTTCTTTCATTTTTATCAAGTGGGACATGGCTATTCAAATTTTTATAGTGTTCACATGGGAAGAAAAGCAGGTAACTCTACATTGTATGAATGGAATTTGCATAAACAGTTATGGGCTATTTAACATTCACTGCCATTTTCAATAAAAACAGAGAAACAATTTGTACAGTTTTCATAAGCGTGGTTTTCCGAGAATATGGAAATGCTTTAACCTGTATTTTCGGCGTTCATGGTCTCAAAAGAACCGTTAACCAAGTTCTAACTACAAAACGCCTCACCTTGGCAAGGTCTCTCTGACAGGTAGCAGTCTTGGCCATTCCGCTGAGGGCTTCAACCTGCCCCAGACGGTCCCCAGTCTCAGACATGATGCTGTAGGCAGACTCATACCGCGGGCTGGCTCGCTGAAAACACACAAACTCAATATGTCAACGAATTCCGATATGTTGAACCTCAAAGAAACTTTTGATTTGTTTGTCTATGTACTGATGTATAGTCCTGTATGTGAATTGGTGTTTTGAATGTCACTGTTACCAATATTACTGTCAGTTCATAATAATATAACAAAATTGAACGCCTTTTAGAACATTGCAGGAAATATACAGATTAACGCGTAGTCTCTGAATATATCTAATTTTGATAGTAACAAATAGTCCCACGTGAATTGAAAAGGAGACCCATGAAGTAAGATGGAGATTCAGTATGAGGAAATCTAGACTTGATTCATTTACGGCTGTAGCATTGCATGAAGATCTGGGCCTAGATTTTCGAAGCTCTCTTAGCGCTAAGATAGTCGTAAGTTAATGTTAATGTATGGCACTTACGACTATCTTAGCGCTAAGAGCGCTTCGAAAATCTAGGCCCTGGGCAGTAGGGAACGTAACGCGGTTCAGGGACTGTGAGAGAGACTAAGGAATATACTGCCCCTCCCGTTCCATCTGCCCCCATACACACTTTACTCCCCCCACCCCCTGTCCCTAGTCTCTTTCTCTTAACTTTTCCCACCCTCTAACTCCCCTGAGTGAGTGAGTTTGGTTTAACGTCGCTTTTAGCAATATTCCAGGAATATCACGGCCGGTGACACCAGAAATGGGCTTCATACACACATTTTACCCATATGGGGACTCGAAGCCCGACCTTCGGCGTGACGAGCGAACGCCTTAACCACTCGGATACCCCACCGCCCCTCTCGATCACGAGGGACACGAGAATAGAAAACACTCATGTCTGCAAGAATCGCCAATAGGTCAAGACAAACTTACCTCCAGATCGTTCCGCTTTCTATGGATGTCAGCGAAGGTCAGAAGGCACCTGGCCTGAACTGGACGGTCTCCGTACAGCATGGCCAGCTTCATAGCGTCCTGCAATACACGGACACTGGTCAGTCCAACCTCACATGATAGCAAATATAAGGTGACATATGTGATCCAGTTCAGCGTTACCGTCCAGATTAACAACTGTCCGTAATAGAAAACACTGTCCAAAAATAAGAGCGACCAAGGGCCATAACTGTGTATGCTCAAGAAACATACAATACATGTAGGAAGGGAAGTAACTCTGGGAAAACTATTTTCGAAAACAGTCACACATGTAGGGAATCGAACCCGGGTCTTGGGCGTGACGAGTGGACGCTTTAACCACAAGGCCACCCCGCCACCCCGCCGCCCCGGATACACCAGAGGGATTCATGGATGGTTTTACACAGATATTGAAAGATATGTAGTGTGTGGTGTGGTGTGGACGGGTGGGGCAGTGGTTATGGGTGTAAACGTTTGTATGAGAATACGATGTTTCTGACTCCGAAATTACTATTATATTATTAAATGTGCAGCTGTGCAATTGAAATGTCAAATAGAGTCGACATGTTTTACAAATTCTGGACTTCTTGTCATTCTCTGGTCATGTAAATGTATTGTATTGTGAGATTGATACCTGTATTTACTTTGAATTAAAGTTTAAATAATACAAAAATTTAATAACACCCCCAAAAAAAACAACAAAAAAAAACAAACAAACAAAACAAAAATACAAACAAGCAAACAAAAACAAGAAAGAAAAAAACGTTTCTGACTCCGAAGCATCGTATTCCTCACAAAACAGAAGTTGACTTCTGTAGGTGATGACAGAGTGACAATATACTCCGAAACGTCATATTCCACACAATGCTTAAGTTGAAGTACACTAATTACCCCCCTATGTGTGTATCACTTCTAAATGCCAGACTTGAAAGGTATGCAAAACCAAGTGGCATTATTCTTTATCATTATCCAAGACAATGATCAACTTACGTCTTGTTTTACAGTTTCTGATACTTCAGACGAAGCTCACACGAAATCTTCATCTGGAGGTTAAGATATGAGGATGTGACCGAGTATATCAGGTTTGTTATTTAAACTCTCTGGATAATAAATATATAAATATTATTTTTCACTCATATACACTGTGTACAGCTGTATAGTGAACTGTGAACAGTTCGCTGATAAACATATCCGTTACCCTAGTTTACATGTGTAAAATGTGAACGTGGAGTTTAAAAAACCCAATGTGCATCTTACATGTTTTGAACCTATTGAATTATATATATATAAGCTTATAATGATATAAACATTCATTACCACATGCCATGGATTATACGTCTCAGGCCTGACGGTAATATGAATAAACACTACATAAAACTATTCAACCCGACAATTCAACCTGACCACTCAATCTGACTATTCAACCTGACTGTTCAACCTACTATTCAACCTGACTGTTCAACCCTACTATTCAACCTGACTATGCAACCCTACTATTCAACCTGACTATTCAGCCTGACTATAGAATCTTACAACTAAACCCAACTAATCAACCTGACCACTCAATCTGACTATTCAACCTGACTGTTCAACCCTACTATTCAACCTGACTATGCAGCCCTGATACTCAACCTGACTGTTCAACCCTACTACTCATACCGACTATTCCATCGGACTATTCAACCCGACCACTCAACACAATTATTCAACCCGACTATTCAGGGCGACTATTCAACCCGACAATTCAATGGGACTATTCAGCTTTGTCCCCTATAGGTGTAGTGATTCTAAGTGTTTATCGTTAATCAGGAAACGTTGACCGTTGACCTGGGTTTGAAAGTTAGTTCCGCTCCCGTTATTCGCTTGCGGTGCATCCAGTTTAACAAACGGTCAGTTGACCATCGCGGTACTTATTAATTCAAAAAAGAGCAAACTTGTTGTAATAAGGATGCATACATTACCTTTACAACTTATCGCATGTTGTGTGTCGATAACAGGAGCCTCGTTTGATATATTTTAAAGATCTTGATCATTTCTTTACGGCGTGGTTCAACTTCATAATTGAGTCTCTATTTTCGAAACACAATATTTCTCCCTCATAAAATCTCAGTGAGAAAAATCGATTCATCATTCACATGACACGATGACGATTTCAAGTCGTCCTCGACACATGTTGCCACTTTACCAGGATTTAAATATGTATGTAATCAAGTCATTAAACGAAACTAATGTGTACCTTGTCTTAATTTAAATAGTTCAAATTCAGTTCACATACATTCCATACATAGGCACATGCAGAATTGACTTTGAATTATCCACAAACCAACGTTTGCTTGGAGGGTACGTAAATATTTGAAAGTAATGAAATCCTAAATACCTATAACGCTTCATCCCCACAATCTCGCTAGTTCTGCGCATGCTCGCGCGTTGCATGAGTTGCACGAGATTAAGGCACGTGGAGTAGGATATTTACATTCACAGACACGCGCGGAATGGCGGAAATAAATTGGAAACACACACACATGTTCAAGACGTGGGAATACCCCAAACATTTCAAACTTAATGCTAACCCAAGTATGGCCAGGTGTTAACGCAGAAATGCCATCTCCACACCGACACTTCTCACAATCTAAGCACCAGTTAGTTTGCTAAGCCATTTCTTTCACAACGGTCATCGTGAGAAATACGATTAAAATTCGTTCAGCTAAATAGGAAATATAATTCTACACTGTATCAGCTTTCTGCTGATTATTCTATGAGCTAGTAGAGAGAAGAATGACATCGTGTACCAAATTTAATTTAAATTCTTTCTGCTCAATAAACTTTGTAAATTAAGCACAATTGATTCATTTCTCGGCTGTTATAAAAATGAATAATTAAAAAAGAATTAACATAGGTGAAAATTTGATATTTAATACGGATTTATGGGTCATTTGTCTTGTAAGTTTTATTTTTCAATAGAGAGGTACCACCGACACATGATAGAGTGCTAGAGGTAAACCACACTGGCAAATACAAAACCGGGATTCGAACTCATGATTCTAAGTCTCTGAGGTCTATAGAGGCGCCCAAACCGACAGTGTCATCCTTGTCCAATATAGCAAATGTCCTGTCACCAAATTATAACTGCATACCGTCACTCACTTTCATTAAGACCGCCTCCGTGGTGTAGTGGTTAGCGCGTCCGCCCGGAGAGCGGAAGGTCGCGGGTTCGGTCCCCGACCGCGTCATACCAAAAGACGTTAAAATATGGTACTTGTTGGTCCCTGCCTGGCGCTCGGCATTAATGGGTACAACAAGGACTGGTCGGCTCGGAGTCAGTATAATGTGTCTGAGTGGGGTATTCATGCTTCACTGCGGTATGGTATCTCAGTGGGCTAGCACTATAAAACCAGCTTAAGTCTGGGCTAGTACAAGCAGCCGCACCTACACATACACACGCATGCACGTCGTCATATGAGCGAAATATTCTCAAGCACGACGTTAAACCCAATTTCACCTCACCTCACTTTCATTAAATATCATCATGAGTTGCCTCCCCTTTGATATTTTTGGCCACTGGTTTGTCTGTGTTCTTTATTATCAGGGTTTCATAAGAACTAACTAATCAGATCCTCCTAATTGCTAATTAACAGGGAAAACTCTCCAATTGAGGCTCATTATGAATTTGTTATAGAATTAAACATCTGCTATGGGCTCACACACAACAAGCGCCTGTACATTGACCATGTGTGCTACGGAATCTGGTGCGTGAACTCCAATTGGGTATAATGATATTAATAATTAGGTATATATAATGAGTGTATTTATAGCTCCGGAAACACCAAGGCGTTTTATCACGGGAGTAATATTAGGATGGGGAAGTGAGAGGAGTCTGGAAGATGAAGCCATCTCGCCAGCGTAGACGGACCGAGTTATGGCCAATGTTTTATGAACTCTGCTATTTTCCAAGGCCGTACTAGTGGTCTGTGGCGCCATGGCTGTTTGAGAAATCAGGAGCGTACCAGTAGACGAGTCGACCACTGAGTCGAAGTTTGCTCAATTGTGTCCCTTTATCGTGTCAGAATCCTGGGTTCGAACGTTAGTCCCAGCCTGATATATTGATATGACGTATATTTCTTTAGCGGTTCTCTAGATTTCCACACAAGATGGTTACACGTCCAACACCGGTCCCTCTCTTTGGGTGTCTGCTTAACGTGGGAGGAAATCTCGGAGAGATGCATATTGATGTGTGTACCAAATTCGTACATTCCATGAATACAGAACTGTTGCGGACACGCTTAGAATCATTATGAGGGTGAGTCTGCATTCGAACCAGCAATCACAGGATCCTGTCATACGCAAGGGGCGCAATTTACCACAAGAAGTTTAGTTCTCTCTGGTCACTGTGTAGGTCAGTATGTGCAATGTACAGGAAATCAGGCAGTCTATTAATAACGATGTCAATCCACAACAGGCGTTTAATTAGTATTTACGATCACCAGTTTTACTTCTACCATGCTGACAGTTGTTGGAGGAACAGCCGGCCTTTTAAAAACACTAAGTGGTGTACAGATTGTCTGGTCAGATTTAGTCAGGTGGCAGTTTTTTAATGACATTAAAATCCTAAAAGGCCACTCAACGGAACGGGTGGTCAAGCTCGATATATAATATATATAAAATTCGTCACCACTCTCGTTGCGTTTATAGATGCTTGTGATGTTCATCACTGGATTGTCAGGTTCAGATTCCATCATATACAAACCTACGTCACACCTGACATTTTGCTGCGCAACGTGATCTTACATTGAGTGAGTGAGTTTCGTTTTACGCCGATTTCAGCAATATTCCAGCAATATCACGGCGGGGGACACCAGAAATGGGTTTCACACATTGTACCCATGTGGGGAATTCTTACATAGAGACAAATATAGATACATGTATATAATTATAGTTACATATGGATTTGTAATTTACAAATCTCTCCTCAAAATCATCTATCACAGTGATGCGGTGGGGTGGTAGCCTAGTGGTTAAAGCGTTCGCTCGTCACGCCGAAGACCCGGGTTCGATTCCCCACATGG